ATAATCGGTTCTTTATTGAAAGTTTCACGACAGAGGACTTGATGCTAATTTACCTTGTAGCATCAAGGAACGGGTAGTGCTCTTTAAGCCACATCATTGGTCTTAGCTTCTAGGTTCATTAACTGCAAAATACGTTGCCCTGCATTATATATAGTACATTAAGGGCTCTTTATTGAGCAGCTTTCAAAGGAGTTTCTATTCCAATTTGCTAACATAATATATGCCTTTCCCCGGAGTCTGGTTGGCTATTTTAATCTAGGGAATGAGCGATGCTTTTTGTTATTATTAGAAAAATAACGTTAATTCTGTATAATGTCAATAACATATCTATAGCATAACATAGCAACGAATTTTCTTCCTTTCTACATGAATACCTTATTATCTAGAAAGTTTTAGAGCCTATTCCTTCATCTCTGTAATATTCTTTTAAAATCTTGGTCTTTGAATTTAAAGGGTTTTCTCCAAAGTTTTTAAAAAGATTAAATTGCCATCAAAATAGCAACAGCTATGAGTATTGAATACTAACTGAGCCAGACCCACTACAAAGAACTTTATTTTTTTTAAACATTTTATTTATGCATACAAGAACTGGGGTATAGGCCAGAGGTACACAGGGTGAGAGGATTCACCAGAGACAGCGTGGGGAGCAGAATAGGCGAATTTACTGAAATACACTGCTAAGGGGAGCAGTGGGTGAGACAGGAGAGGTCTGCTATGCCATATTGTATTTTAGCTCCCTGGCTGGGGATCAAACTCAGGCCATCGTGTCTCAGTGACAGCACTGAGACTTAACTCCTATGCCACCAGGGAACCCCCTTCCCCCAATTACAAAGAACTTTATATATGCCATTCCATCTTTGCAACAACCTGAAGATGCATACTATTATATCTATTCACAGATGAAGAAATTGAGGTCAAGGGGGAGAGGTGAAGTGACATAGCAATAAGTGGTAGTTCAGGCAGTCTGGCTCCTGAGAATGAATCCCCAGCCATCCATTACAGCCACAAACTAGTCGAATGGAGTGTCTGGTGCTCTGGTCACTGCCTGCTGCTTCCCATGGCTTGCTTTCTCTTCTCAGACTCAACAAACATTATATATGCATGTGTCACATATATGTATGCATTTCTATGCATATATATAGCTACATAGAACAAACAGTAACTTTAATTTTGATATTTAAAACTATTTCTTTGTATTTATAACTATAATTACTTAGTGATATACTCCTTTGTGTTCCAAAGTCGTTTTAAAAGTACATAGGCCTCCCTGGTGGTGCAAGGGGTTAAGCAACGCACTATGAAGCAATCTGCAGCCTCTACAGCACGAGTTTGATCCCTGGCACACCAGGGAGCAATCCACATGGCGTAGCAGACCTCTCCTGTCTCGCCCGCTGCTCCCCTCAGCAGTGTATTTCAGTCAGTCTGCCTGTTCTATTCCCCACTCTGTCTCTGGTGAATCTTCTCAACCCCCGCATCTCTGGCCTGTACCCCAGCTCTTGTATGCATAAATAAATCTTTAAAAAAAATTAAAAATGTACATATAAAGCATAGTTCCCATGATCTCATTTGGCCCTTAAATCCTCCCCAAGAAGCCGGCAGATGTTGGCTCACAGTAGCAATGGAATAACTTATCCCAGGTGAGTTCATTGTTTGTAGCAGAAACTAACCCAGAACTCCACCACAGCTGTCACTCCAGAATACCTAAGTGCTGTGAGACCTTTCCTAGGCCATCAAGCCTAGGCCCTCTGGGCTGGGCTGGGGCTTAATGTAAGAAATGTAGCATAGGGCCTCCCTGGTAGTCTAGCGGTTACATCTGAGTGCTATCACCGCTGTGAGTTTGATTCCTAGCCAGGGAGCTAAACCACATATGGAGCAGCACAACTCTCCTGTCTTATCTGCTGCTCCCCTCAGTATTCAGTATTTCAGTAGATTCACCTGTTCTGTCTCTAGTGCATCCTTTCTCTGCCCCCCCACAAACCCTCCTCCCACCTCTGTCCTACACCTGAGTTCTTCTATGCATAAACAAACCTTTTTAAAAAAAATTTAAAAAATGTAGCATGAGTTTCAGGCCCAGCGTTTGTGAAGCAGAGTAACATGGTGAATCTGTCCTCTTTTGAGGGATCCGCCATCTTTGTTTTCTTTTCCTTGGTGTCTGCCCTTGTGGTTAACTGTCTCCTTTGCACTGCTTTGGCGCTGGACCGAAACACTCATTCCAATTATCCTGCCAGGGTGCCATATGGCACATATGTATCGATGTACCCCCCCACCCCCTGTAATAGTGTGAGTTTACCTCCATATCCAGTTTCACCACAGAGCTCAGCAGTAGAAATGTTCAAACATTTATTCATTCATTTATTTGTTCTCTGTAAACATTTACTATATTGGCAACTAGAAAATATTGGAGAAAAGGGGGAAAGATTTAGAGACAAAATTCCAATTCTAATTATTTTACCATAGGACAGGGTTTCTATATACTTTGTGATACCACTTCCCCAAACTTTGGAAAAATTCCTGGGAGCTCCACCTTCTAAGAATGGTTCAGGCAGGGCTGGTCGTCCCAGAAATGGCCTACAAAGAAGTTCTTTGGGGACTTAATGTGCCCTCCAGGACAGTAGAACCTATAAAACGTGTAGGGGGGATTTCTAGGGAGGAGACCAGCGTGGCAAAGCAAACTGCTTCCTCCCACCACAGAGTTAAAAAACAATGTCCAGCCTTTAGGTTGTGGGAAAGAGAATGGTGAAATCATTCTCTGTCTGGCACAAGTTGCAGACTATTAAGTCTTTTGGGAAATGTGGACTTGTACCAATCTACGAGATTGGCCATGGCCATTTTAATATGTTTTTGAAAATCAGCGAGTGCTTAAAAACTTGTAGTAAAAGCCCTAATAAACTAAATTAGACCGGGACTCTGCCAGAATTGTATTTACCTCTTCAAGTGGAGGGTTAGGAAACCACGCTAAAAATTAAAGTAAAAAAAAAAAAGAAAGCGAGAGAGAAGGGAAGAAAAGTAATAGATCTCTGTGTTTAGGGAGTTATTTGGTTAAAAGAATTAACTGTCCGCTATCACAAGCAGCTCATTTGCAGAAGAGACAGGTGAGTGCTTTGGGTGACGTACATTCTCATGAATGATGCCACCCGCCACCCCCTTTTTTGCTTTTGTTTGGCTTTAGGAGTCTTATTTGTTTTTACAAGGGTAAGTTTGGAGGGAGAGGGATGTAGCAACTGTAGCCAGAAGAATGAATGCTTTGTGCATTGTGTATACCCGTGTAGTGTACTGAACAAGTACTAATAAGAATAAAATTATTGGAGCAAATAAAATCACATGTGCTTTTTAGTCACCTGGGAGAGGGGCTATGCCAGCCTTCTTGAGCATATAAAAAAAAATTCTCCACATCTGAATAGCATTATAGAATTTATAAAGCCTTGTACATATATTGTCATGTTTGATCCTCAACAACCCTTGATTCAGGAATGATCTGTGCTATTATCTCATTTTACAGTTCAAGGGTGGTTAAGTGGTTTATCCAAGGTTGTGGAGCTACTAGGAGGCAGTCAGACCTTCCAGCAATGTTCTGGCTCCAGAACATTTCACTGTCATGGGAACTGTGGTATGAATTTGAGCAAAAATCGCTAAAGTCATTTTGTGTAGAAGAAAAATATTTGACGTAGGAAATGGACTTCTCACCTAGTTCCCTAGACATCAGAAAAGCACAGAACTAAGGATCTCGTACATGTGAGTTCTGACACAGACTCGTGTGACCCCTTAAGATACATGGGCAAAATGAGGAACTAATAGTGTTCTGTTTCCCAAGGTGCCCATGAAGATCACATGAGATTAATGTAAATTATGGTACCTTTTTGAGAACTGGTTAGTTTTCAGACTACTTTTTCTGTCCATATCAATGAGGAGCTGGTATATTCTTTTCCTGTTGCTTTCACAAAGTGACGCAAACCTGGTGGCTTAAAACAGTCCAATTTATCTTTTAAATTCTGGAATTCAGAAGTCTAATCTGAGATGTTTGCAGTTTCTGCACTCCGTGGGGACTCTTACTTGCTCCTCTCTCCTGCCTCCCTCTCAGAAAGACCCGGGTGGTTACAGCGTCCTCACCCTCATAATCCAGCATCATCTCCTCATCTCATTGTAATTGACTAACCACCTCTACAAAGCCCCTTTAACATGTAAGGAACCTATTTTATGGTTCTAGGGGTTAGAACAGGACATCTTTGGGGCGTTGTTATTCAGCCTGCCACAGATGGGATAAAACTTGAGATTCAGCCTGTCATTTCTGCCCCAATCACAGTCATACATAGAATGATGCATCTCAGCAGCATAAGCTAGCCCACCTTCCCCTCATTCCCACTGTCCATCTCTGTTCTGTACTAATAACCTCATGCAGACACATGAAGATATCTCCTAATGAGAGAGAAGAGCAAAACATAAGAATGTTTGGAAGCTTAGAAGCAGGCACCTGAGATGCATCTCTTAGGCGCACTTTCTGTATAAGAAAGTATTTACTCAACACATTTCAACAGCTTACTAAGAGTGTTAGTATTCCATTGGCCTTCAAACTCTTCCATGTATATTTACTCTCCCATGAAGCTGTACTTTGCATGTAACACATGAAGAATACTTACCACTTTGAATGTTAAAAATTGACTTGCAATCCAGAAATCCATCTTTTTCTCCCTCACTAGACTCTATGCTCTTCTCTGTGCATTGAAGGGTCTAAGTAGCTCCTGCAGATAAGCTCTTGATAAACACTTGTAACATGAGTATCTTTTAGAGGATTCTACTATGTGTTAATGGACTGCAGAGGAAAATTCTGTGCCTCCTGCCTGCTCTTCCTTGGTCTCCATCTCTAATGTCCTCAATTCTGTTGCGTCATTACCTACAACCCATGATTCATATCAAACCCCAGTCTTTACTTAAATGCTCTGTATAAAAATCCAGGACCTGAGAAGGAAGCAGGTGATTCAACACTCAAAGCAAAAAGAAAAATTGTAAGCCTATTTCCCTCTTCCCCTAAAAGTGATTTCAGGGTTTGTGACAGCAGCCAGACTCAGAGAAAATGACTTACTCAGAATATTCACTTTGCTTCATGGAAACTTTTAGCTTTTCAGTTTCCATTCCATGATATGGGGTAGATCTATGAATGGACTCTTCCAGGCATGTCTTACAAAAATAAAGAGAAAAAACAAAAATTGCTTAGACATTGCCTACAAATAGTATGCAGATCAAATTACCAATAGATTTTAATTAGTTCCTTCCTTGATATGGCTGAACCTCTACTAACCATCACCTTGTCCAGCAGTGTGTAACACTGATGAAAAAAAAAAAAAAATCCTGACCTAACGTTGAATGGAACGACCTTATTTGAGGACCTGCTTCCCTTATATATCTTTTCATTTGAAGTCTCAATTGCCAAGAACCCATCAATGACGTGAGAGCTTTCTGTATTTTAACACTACCTTCTCTTTAAGTAGAAGTGGATGTTTCACAAGAAAAAGGTGGTATTCAGTAGGACATCCAATATTTGTAATTATGATTCCATCTGGCATATGTGTACATGTAAAGAGTTATTTCTTTATATACTCAGGCAAGAAAAGGTACTAGATACAAAGTTGGGAATTTAAGATTCAACATGAGACCCAGTTGGACTGAATCAAGCTCCTTTCAATCCCAAGATGGAGCACTCCAATGCTCATCTTCATTTGGAACCACCCAAGCTGTTCCAGGGCCTAATCCAATATTAAATACTTCAGGAAGAAGTTGTGATCAAGAAGTAGGCCATGCACATTGTCTCCTCCAACCCCCCTTTCTAATATGACATTTGAAATTCTCTTGCCAGTGGGTCACGGTGTGGCTGGGCTGGAAGGGCATTGGTAGAAGCCCTGCAGGCTGTTGACTGGCCCCTCTCACTTCACTGGCACAATTTTACTGCTGGGTATTTCCTAGTACTCCACAAAAACACTTGTGTGCGTTTGTTCAAATGAAAAGAAGATTTGTCTCCCAGGAAAACCATTTAAACATGGAGAGACTGCAATCTCATTTTCGAATATTAGGTTTCGTTTTATGACAGATCATGCTGTTTAGTATAGCATATCTATATTAAAAAGCATGAACAAGTCAGCCTTGTTCTGTCCCATTCCTGTCCCTCTCTAATGTACATTTATAAAAACACAGACATATCTGATTCCACACACACTATACAATATTTTATCGATTACAGTGAAACTTAGTTATATCGTATTTCCAGAGACTGAGAAAAGAAAACATAGAAAGTGGGAAACACTGAATTTGATTATGCTGGGCATAGGGCATTAAAGAACCAGATTGTGGGGAGGTCTTGTATGTGGGAATAATAAAAATAAGTTTCACTAAAAAGCTTTTACAAACCATGTGACAGATATTCCTAACATGTTTCTTTGCGTCTAGACGCAGCGTTCGCACAGCAAATTCCTCAGAAGGCTGCATGCAGTTAGTTTCCATGTCCTCCTGTCTGACTCCTGCCTCTCTCCTTACACTCCTGCACTCCTGACCTGGATTATTCCACTGGTCTTCCACGCAGCCTCAGGGTTCCTTCCTCTGCAGTCCTTAAGCATTCTGCAAGGTACAAATCTCCACTAGCCCTTAAAGTCACTTCGCATAATCGACTCAAGCTGTAGTCTCCAAATCACAGTTATGTACAGGACTGGCAAATCAATGAAATTTGAGGAAAACAAAAACCCTAAAGTCTTCTGATTGTCCGACTTTACATCACTCAAAGTCCTTTACACCAAGCAGAAAAACAAATGGAAAAACCAGAAGAAATATTTGCCCTATTCGCATCTCTTTGATTTAATTTTCCTATTTCACTCTTAAATGCATCTGGAAATTAGTGTTTCCTATCAGATGAGAAAGAAAGCATTTCCAAATAGATGTAAAACCATCTAGCATTTTTTCTTCTCCACTTTTCTTCTCCCCTTATCTATGTTTTCTCCCCTATCCTGTTAGTTGGTGGTTTAGACGCCAGCGTCTGTTTCTGGACTCACAGCTCTATCTCTTGTCTTCTCTGCTATTCTTCCCCAACACAAAGCTGATGGAAAGATTCGCTGTTGGAGTGTTTTAACATCAGGTGGGCTGAGCTATCCCTTTGATAATACTTTCTCTTAAATTTCTCAATTGTTCTCATTGGTCTGGTCTTCCAGGAGAGTGTCAAAATCATGTTTCAAGAGCCATCTGCATCCTACAGAGATCTTGGTTATAATTTCATTCATCCTACAAATGAATTTTGAGAAAATTTACATCTTTACAGTAGTTGGTGCTCTTAGATAGTTATGGGGCACGTTCCCCCATCTCTGCAGTTGCTTTTATTGCCTCTGACAACATTAAACTTGTTTTTTACCTAAGCCCAGTACAGCTCATGATTTGGTAGCTGCTTTATACTTTTGATGGCATTCCAAATGCAATCTTTTCCCATTATATTTTCTAGCTGGTTATTGTTGTTACAAAAGAAAGCTACTGGCATTTTAATGTTAATTTTATACCTCCTGGCCTTACTGAACTCACATATTCCAACATTTGGGGGGGCTGATTCTCATGTTTATTTAAAAAAAGATATTTTCTGAAAATGGTGATATTTTCCCCCTCTTTCCCACTAAGCAAAGGTCATAGTCCTCATTTCTGTTCTGGTTCTCATTACACTGGCTTGAACTTCCAGAACAATGTGAAACTGCAAATTCAATTTTGATCTCCCAACTTTGATGCACCTCTCTCCCCATCCCCAGCGCCAAAGATCATCACTTTTCCCAGCATTTTGATTCAACTTAATTTAATGAATTCCATCATCTCTTTGGTGCCTTGATACTAACTTTTCCACCACTGACCCCAAGGAGCTTCATCTACCAGTCAGCCCTGCTGCGCTGGTTAGGGTGGCAAATAAAATACAGGATACCAGTTTGATTTCAGATACACCACAAAAAGGTTTTTAGCATAAGTTGATCCCATGAAATATTTGGGGCACTCTTATAGTCAGATAAATGATGTGTTATCTGAGATTCAGCCTGGGTGCCCTGTGTTTTAACTCCGTAACTCTGGCAATGCTATTGGCAGTTCTAGTTGTGAAGTCAATTAAGCCAAGTTTGCTTCTGATCCCACAGCTCTATTCACATTGGGACAGTTATCTCTTACCAGTTCTTAATAATATCCTGTAATTATATATTAACCGGGTACTCCATAGCCCCAGAACCTAGTCCTGGTTTACATATCCTTGGCATTTAGGTTAAATGAACTTTAAAAATGCATGAATGATGGCAAGCAGATCATCAAATATTCACTGAGCATTACTGGAACATGCAGCCTGTAAGAAGTTTTTAATCTTAAATCAGGGAACAGGTGTGTGGCTCTACTTAACATCCAGGGAAAAGAGAAAAGGACAGTCAGTTTTCCAGATTTCCAAAATGGGATTTTTTTCTTACCTAGAAGATACAGAAGTATATCACTTTTTCTTGGATATTAGAAGGAGTCAGGAGCACTGGAGTCAGAAGATCCTGAATCCAATTCTGACTTGAACACAAATTGGCTACTTGACCCTGGGGAAGTCACTTCGCTTTCCTGGACTCAGTTTCTTCCTCTGTAAAGCAAGACAATTCGCATAGGAATGACTACCAAGCTGTTTTAGTGGTGATGTCATTCAAAAATAAAATATTTTGATATTTCACCCCAGAACCCCATTTATCCAATTCAGATGGAGGAAGAACTAGTCCATTGACGAGCCAGCAGGCCCAGCACCTCCCAATTCAATTCTGTGCCTTCTGATTAGCCCTGAAGGAACCTTCTAATATGCTGCCCTCCACGGGGCTACACAGTCTTCAAGGCCAGCATCCTATCCTCTTTTAATGCTATATGTACATGTGGTAGACAGGCCCATCTCCTGATAAGACTCAGGTACACACGTGGGCAGAGAGCAGTGTCACAGTAACCGATTATTGCTTTCTGTGCTCATTGATGAAAAGAACTCATCCCAATTAGTCAGAATTCATCCCAATTTTCTACAGTTGCACTCTCATCTAATGGGGGTAGGTAGTTACAATAATAATCTGAGATCCTGAGCTAAAGCATCACCCACAATGTTACTTTCTGTCATATAGGCTATACCTCACCTTGCATCTCCTCACAGGAGGTCCAGTCTGTGCAATAGACTACTGCAACTACCTCCAAATGAGTCTACCTCTCCACCCACTGTGGGGGCCCAGCAATCCAGCTTGCCTGCCTCTTTGAGAATGACGGCTCCAAAATGTACACTTAGTCTTGTCACAAACTTCCCAGCCTTCCCACAACTACCATAACCTAAATGCCTTCAAGACATCCTTTTGCTCCTAATATAAGCAATTCCAATGAAATCTCCCCCATCCTGCATTCTTTTCCAGCATTTTCTCTGCTCCTCAAATCCATATCCTTTCTCCCTCCAGGTTCCTAGCAGCCTTTACACATGCTGTTCCCTTGTCTAGAAAACTTTCCCCTTCCTATTTTCTTGGCTAACACACATCTTTCAGATCTCTGCTTCCTCAGCTCTGAGGAGATGGGCATGTCAAAAGCTGTCATCACATTTCAGCTCCTCCTCTTCATCTCTCTTCATCATCATTAAGAATCCACATCTGCTTATGTAATTCTTTGATCAATGTCTGTCTTCCCTACCCAACCGTAAACTCTGTGAAGGTCTATGGCTAGAACAATGCTGACACGCAATACACTTTTAATATTTGTTGATTACATTACCAGTAAGCAAGGGCTATGCATTCATACTCTTTATAAAGATTTGCTGCAAAAGTGAAGAATGAATGAGTGCTTTGGTTAATCGGAAGTTATTTATGGAAAACAAAACTTTAGTTAACTGGTATATCTAATTCTGTCTACATCTCTGGGAGTTGTGACTTAATGTTTTATTCATACCAATCAGGATTGGGGTCAGTGGGGGTGAGAGGACGAGGACTGTAGGACTTTTAATACAAAGATTTAACAGAGGGGATTGTTTGCATAAGGGTAAAAGTGCTGGAACTAGAAGTAGCCATATGACCTCATTTGTCAACAAAGGACAAATGCAACCCTCCATGTGCTTAGAAAGTTGGGGAGTCAGAAATACTTGGCATGAGTGACCACTGTGGGCACAATACAAGTTGGATATTAGTTTGGAATACAAGAGTGGTGCAATCTAAATAGGGGTATCTATGTTTTTAATAAAAGTATATGACTAAGCAAAGGAAACTGGTAGTGAGATATTAATTGGAAGAGACAGGTTGCAAGAAATGGGCAAGCCTGCAGATTGTATCTGATTTTTCACTCTGAAGTAACATCTAAGTTGTTCCTCTCAGACACCCAGGCATTGTTTAGGATCATACATGACTGACTAGAAATCATCGTCACGGTGTAGACATTTCAAAGCCAACATCCAACTCTTCCTCTGAGCTGTGTCCCTCCTCTCTATCTGCAATCCACTCATTTTGACTATTTAGTATCACTACACCCTTTCTGGCTCCATTCTCCTGGACCAAGACTTTGTTGGCTGCAGAAAAAGACACACCAATCACTGTTTTCATGACTGAATGAAGAATTTACTTCTCCAAGGTACAAAGGGGTGACTACCAAGATACTTGTCCCCAAGGCACTCTTAAAATCAAAGACCTTTGCTGAGCTACTGAAGTGTTAATTGGCCAAGTACAATTGTTGAAAATTAGTTTCTATGTGAAACAATTAAAATAAGATAATTGGGAGTTGTCAGCACTCCTAAATATTTATGCCAGTTGATGCAAATATTTATTTACATATCATCTGTTTGCAATTTTTATCACTTCTGCTCTCTGCAAAGCTGCTCATAAACCATTAGATCATTTCTCTTGATGCTTAAATTAAAATCTAAACTTATTCTAGTCAACTGACAGAAAGCTAAAATATTTTTGTTTAAATTAATTTGACAATGTGTGTTTTGACAATGTGTTTATATCTTTCATTTATAATGGAAAGTGATACTTTCCCTCCTTTCAGAGAGATTTCTGATTTTTTTTTTCCATAGCCAATTCATTTTATTTTCCCATGTGGTATTCATTAAAGCAATTCCCAACATTGTTGATTTTCATTATATCTGTAGAGTGTTAAAACTTTCTTTCACACTTCTGCAACTGGTTAGCAATATCAGTTCAGATTTGCTTGACATCTTTTCTATTACTGCACATCAAATGTATACAAGTTTTGAAATATCAAGAAACTTCAGAGTATCATGGTTAATAGTCCCTTCTCTATTGAAGAAGTACAGGAGTAAACTCTTGTTCTTGCCAAGCCTCTTCCAGTCACATCTCTCAAACACCTCAAAGTACATCTCCACCCAAATCTTCCATGCCTTTTAAAAATTTGATCACCAACCTTCTTTTCTTGTCTTCAAGAAATAAGGGTCCTCCTAACTTTCTAATAGAGCACTTGTGTTAAAATAATTTAGATCAATAAAGTTTATTATTCCTGTGATATATCACATCAAGTTAATAATGAAAAACTAGAGAAAAAATTTCCACAACTTAATAGTCTTAGTATATATTCTGATACATTCCCATCTATAGTTTTATCCATGAATAAAAGTTTATTTCCTTTATATTTTTCATGTAATTGTGATATTACATAGTCAAGTTTATTGGTTTGGTTTCACTTGCCAGTATATATAAGCATTTCCTCCATGTACAGTTCTTCATAAGGAATTTTAATTCCTGAAGAACTTCATAGTGTTTTGGTCTTTTTTTAATGGTTATGTGGTGACCTCACAATAGATGGATGGATTATAATTCAGTTCAAACATCTTTTACCAAATTTGAGAAGCAGAGGATAGAGTTTGGTGCCTGATTTGGACCACTTGATCCCCTTCCCTGCAAATAGAAAATGTGCTCTATGAACCACAACAAAGAGGCAGATGGAATGCAAAGTTCTGCACCAGTATTGTGTTTCTCAACTATGGATCACAGCAAAACACTGATATGGGGGTGGGGGGCGGTAGTTAACTGAAAAATTTGAAGGAAAATGTTTCTGGTTTTGACTAAGTAGGAACACCTATCTAGTATCCATGACTGGGGTGCATAAGCGAGTAAGCCCAGACATTTTGTGCCAAAAGATGGAAAGCAATTCATTTCACTCCTAAGCTTGAACTTCTTCCATATAAAGAGGGAAAAGGAAATCTGCCTAGCTACCTCTCAAAGCCTGGCATTTGAGATACTCCTTTACTTACAAAATGAAGACATTTCTATGGTAGCTTATGTTTCCTAGGTCTTCCTCTGGTTTGAGTATTTTAACCCTTTAACTTTCCACAGCAGGTGTGCCCTTCTCCCTGATGCTGAGTCATGAGTGGGCTTTTACAATGACTCTACTTTCTCTCCCTCTGGGAGCAGACTGCTCAAGAAGAGGCACCTCCCTAAGCAAGGCTCCTGCTGAGCCTTCCCCAGACTCAGTCTCGCTCTGCTTTCTGTACTTCTCTATTTGTTGTAGGATCCCAAGGCAGTGTCTGGCATCTTTGATTCCTACACTGGAATTCTGTAGACCAGTGGTACTCTAAATGTGGCAGCAACACATCATTTGAGAGCATGTGAAAAATGTAAGTTGTCGGGCCTCACTGGTGGCGCAGTGGTTGAACGCTGGGTTGCGAAGCTGCCCGTAGCCTCTGCAGCGCCAGTTTGATCCCCAGACGCCAGGCGAGGGTTCCACATGGCGCGCAGACCTCTCCTGCCATGCTCGCTGCTCCCCTCAGCAGTGTATTTCGTTGGTCTGCCTGTTCTGTTCCCCGCTCTGGCTCTGGTGAATTCTTTCACCCTCCTGTGCTTCTGACTGTACCCAGTGCTTGTATAAATAAATAAATCTTTTTTAAAAAAAAAAGTTTCCTAACCTTATCACGGCTATGTAGTAAGTGTTCAATAAATATAAAGTTTTTTTTTTTTTTAAATGTAGGTTCTCAAGCTCTACCCAGAGCTGTTGCATCAGAAATTTTTGGGGTGGCATCTAGAAATCGGGGTTTCAAAGGATTCTTCGGGTGATTCTGATGCCTGGTGAGTTTGAGGACCACCGCTATAGACTTGTGCTGAATAATGTACCTGCTTCCCCACTCACATTCCTCACAGTGGGCACCTGTCCTCCACAGACCCTCAAGCTGGTCTTAATAACGCAGCCTCAGTTTGCATGCTCATTGGGGAAGAGCAAACTTTAATATCTGCTCTTTCTCCAAAACGTGCCTTTCCTTGATTTTTCGATCTCCAGGCCTCAGTGAATTGTACTACTTCATTGGTAGCAAGAACATTTGTGCCTGCCACCTTCAAACCAATTCCTGTAGCAAATGTCTCTAGTGGTTTCATATGTCTTGCTCGTTCTCCGCTCTTTTCAATCTCAGCTGGTTTGAAAAATGTAATGTGCTTCCTCGCTTGGCTCCCTACTTTTTTCATATGCATGCTAACACCTTCCATGGGATCATAGGCCCCCTCCTCCTGTCTCTTTCTCTTTGCTTTCAGCTCCACTCATTTGTTTTCTTCATAATATTATTCCAGATTTTGTCCTTTGAGATCCTCCTTAATAAGAGATGTGAAGGCAGCAACTTCAGAAGCTGCCAAAATA